TTATTTATTTATTTATTTATTTATTTATTTATTTATTTATTTATTTGTTTAGTTATTTATTTATTTAGTTATTTATTTCAACATTTTTCGCAGAATATTCAAAACTTTTTGTCTCAGAATTTTTATCGTTTTAGCAAATTAAACCACAGAACAGTTAGTAATCGAAATAATGTTAGTAACAAATTTTGAGGTTATGATTATGCAGCAAAGAGGACCGGTGATGGAGCAAATGTCTATATGCAACGAAAATATTATACACTTCCAACCTTCAGCTATGTAGGCAAAAAGGATATGCCTGGAATTCTGAAAGCAAATGAAAGCGTCGTTACCACTCAGAGTTTAACCCCAAGCCAGGCAGTGAGTAATTCGATAACAAAGTATGCAACGGCTAAAGAAAATTCTGCTTCGAAACAATTCAATGTAAGCAATTTGAAAAACAGATTTGAAATATCTGAATATGCGCGAGAAGGCGTGAAGACAGCTGTGCCAGCTTCCCTCACTACTGCAACAAATATTTGCATGAATCATTCGAGAGATACAAAGTCTCAAAGGTATGCGTATAAAAGAATTTGACTTATCAGATATATACGAAACTTTATCATTTTCCGGTTAGCACAAGTTTTGTAGCATTTCCCGAGATTGTGTATCTGCTTGTTAGTTTCGAACTGTCCATGCTACATAGGCTTTCAATTAAGACTAAAGATACTGAATTATTTTTAAATTCATTCTCTTCTGATTCTCACTCATTGCTCACATTACTCACCGAATTGCAATTCACTAAAGTTATTTGTTTTGAATGCTCACAGTAGAGCACTGATTTCATATTTAAATTGACTTCAAAACCCTAATTTTCAAAGTAATTATTACAAGTACTTCTGTTAGACTCAAGTGAGTAATGTATTAGTAAAAGATCACAACTTCTAAATTGCTTTGATTTGTCTCAACTGTTTCGTTTCAACAGAAGTACAATCGAAGACAAAAGAGGAAGTCAGGCAGTACCGATTCCGAGACCGCGCAAGTTTCAAACTGAAATGTCTGTTTCAGACACTTCAACAGTAATTATTTGGATTATTTTTGTTTTCAACAAAAAATTGTTTGGCATTATATTAGAATTCCGCGTAAATTAAATAAGAGAATGAGCGAATGAAAAATTAATATTATTACGTTAAGATGATCGTAATTTCAGTAACAATGCCAAGCACATTAATTTTACTGGTTGAATAGTTGTAAGCATAACTTAATGTGCCACTGACAACAACGACAATTTTCATACTTGAATGACATGCAGTGATAGACTGTAATGGGCAGTGATGACTCGTTACTAGCAACTGATAACTTATTATTAAACAAATTTCTGACACGACTATAATAGTGTGATTTTGTAATGTGTTTTTCAATAATCCATTTACTAGAGGAAAAGATTGTCAGAGATGTCTACTGATTAAGTATTTGTGAGCATAGCTCAGTCCATTTGAGTAATATTATGAAGCTAGATTTTTCAATTGCTAAGTAATATACTAGCATTATATTTTTGAAAAGTGCTAATATAAAAAACTATTTGGATAATATCACAAATCTGAGCCTTTTAAAGAAGAAATTACTGACTTCACTTCACCTCAAAGATTCGGCATTTGATGAAATTTAATTAATTTTCAGTTTATTTTTGCACAAACATTGTTTTCATAAGCAAAGCTATTAAAGTATGAAGCATTTATGTGATAAATTATGCAGATTAGAAGGCCATTCGTAATGAAAATAAATTTAGAAAAGTCTGTCTCAGAATATAGCAATGGATAGCAGCTTATCACCAGGATCAGATAGCACTCCTCGTACTTGGATCATCAAGCGTCATGTAGGTAGAAGTGAGATGACCCCAGTCAGCACTGGTGAACATTTTTTTGAATAAAGTTTTTGCAGTGAAAACTGTTTCATTTGACCGACCGTTATATTAAAAAACTGCTCGTTTCAAAACTGTCATAATAACTTTCAATTTTTATAAAGTTCTTTTTTAATTATTGACTTGCCTCTTATAACTTTTTATGTTATTATCATTTTTTCAGCAATATATTTCAGAATCTTTTTTTTACATGCAGTAATTTTGCTATGGAACTTGTAGTAGTAAGAAAAGTTAACTAGGAATAATTTAATGCCTTTTCTAGTTGAGCTCGTTCATAATTTGAAAAATGATTTCAGATTCAAATGTTGAAACAATGGGAGAAACGAGATGTGAATACGTGAACATTGAGGACTGGGTCGAAGCAAATGCCAAACGTGTAGAAGCGAATCGGACGAATCGGAAAGGATGGCAAGAAGAGAATCTAACACGGATAAAATCTGCCACCATGAACAATCCTTGGCGTAATTTTTTCTTACACAATATTATTATTATTATTATTATTATTATTAGTCAAAAATTTTTTAATTTATATATAGTTTAGTGCAAAATTATGCTTTCAAGAAATTTTTTTGACTTCATCATTGATTAAATATTTTCAGAAGTAATTGAAACTGATAAGAAAGACTTTATTGCACAAAAAATACAGATTTAATTTAAAATTGGAACTGTTATTCTACAAATAATTGCAATTATTAGATTTTAAATCTTTCAAATACAAATTTCCTTCGATAAATGCAAATTTGAATTTATTTTTTCACTTTTTGATCAAATAAAATATTTTATGCACTAAAATCTGTTTTTTAAACTAATCCTTTGAAAAACGCAATTGTAATTCTATGATAAAATTAGCGAATTTTTTAATGTGTACAATAAAATTTGCAAAAGAATCAAGAATGAATGCTGTCAAGAGCTCTCAGTCGTCGCATCGGCCTGAAAACTACTTCATCTGCTCACGATGTCAGCGAACAATTCGGCAAGACTTTTTGGATTCTGATCAGAAATCTGGAGTGCATCAACAAAAGCCAAGCACACAGCAGCCGCTACAACAAATTGGTTCAGATAGTGCGAAAATTCTGGAAACTGCTCAACCTTCAAAATCGCAAAGTGATTTTTGATAACCCAACAATATTTACTCTAAGTATTATCATAAAAGTATTTTGCAAAATAGTACTTCAAACTTCGAATTAAATTTGCATTTTTGAATGGATTGTGTGCAATGAAAATTTTCGTTAGTAATGCATCCATCAGCAACATCTCTTTTAGTCTTATTTTTTCGTCTGTTATTGTTTTTTTCTGTGATCCAAATTTTTATAATTTTCAGTCTGATACTGTAACTAAGATCTCGATCTTACAGAGAGCATTATGGTTTCATTCACTGTAAATAATACTGTCACTCGAACTTTACAATATGCATTTGATAATTAATATCATTATGGCTTTTATCTAAAACTAATTTTAGCTATATTTCACTGTAATTATTAATTTTATTTTGTAGACAGTTTATTTAGTCAGTCATTAAGGTAAGAGCAGCGAAGGATTCGAGCAAAGTGTCCAATCTCAACAGAAATCCCACAAATTCAATACGAGCACTAACACAGGCGATTATTTTCCAAAAGTTAACGTCAAACAACGAACTTTTTCTTTTGGTAGAGTGTGTTTACACACTAAATTGCCTAATATGTTTTCACTTTATTTCTCATAAACACTGTTTTTCTCTGTTAAAGTCATTACAGTAGTAACTATACAAAAAGTACTGCAGAAAAAGTATTATTGACATTATCAATGCACAATTAAGACCCAACCAATTAATTATTGATAATATTATTATTATTATTAAGAGAGCCTATTTATCAATCAATCTATTTTCTCTAAATAAAATTTACTAGCTGTTTTTAAAAATTTGCAATATCGGTGAGAGCAACGCTTAACTGCCAGTCGCTGTCTGAATTTCAGTTTTTTACTTCCACTAATCAAGTTTTGAATTCAGATTTTTTTAACGGTAGCTTCCACGAGAATACGCTTATTTGAGTAGTACTCACTTACTTTTTCTATACACTTTTCCTAATACTATTTTTAATACAACCAGTAGAGGGCGGAGAATTCTCAAAATCCTTAGAGTATGTACCTAACTTGCGTTCCATGAAATTTATTTTTTCCCAAGCATGTCTCGAAACAACCTTGGGAGCGGCTGGCATTCTAACATAAGTGCAAATTACATTCTGAAAAACATTGTTATATTCTGGACGAAGTAATTAGCAGTTATTGAAAGCAGTTTATATCCTTTACTGTGAATATAATGCAGAGAAGGAATTGAAGCGCAGAAGTACTCAAACGAATGCGCGAATTTTGGCTGATCAGTTGAGCACTGCACGTGACTTTGCCTCAGATAAATTCAGTTTGTTTATTTTCTTGCATTTATAATAACTGATAAATGTATGTTCACTTAAACTTTGCTATTCAAATGCGTGGCAAGGTTGAACTAAGGAAAGCCATACACTGCATTTTTTCAATACTTTTAAAATTTAATCAAGGAAATAAAGGCAGAGGTAAATAAATGTTGGCTTGTGCTTTGCAGTTCAAAATTTAACTTAAAATCATTCACTAACCAGTTTTCGCTCTCAGAAATTTTGATGGCAAAGGTGTTATTTTCTTAAGTCACAAATTAAAGCTTTTTAAAAGGCTTTAGTGGAAGTTCACTTCTGTTAATCTTTTCTTCAAGCAGTAAGTAATGAGAAGAGTTGTAGAAGAAACATTGAAAAAATTTGTGCAAGCAATCAAAGAGCCTCAGCAGCCAGAAAAAGATTGTAGACAGTTGCAAGATCGAACAACTTCAATGGCACGTGAAGGCACGCAACAACTTGCGCACGTGGTACATATTCCAGGTAAACGAATGCATCAAAAATTAGTCCACGTGAAATTCACTGAATTAAACACTTACCGTATATTCATAGCACTAAGCGGTATAATTGGCAGAAAAAGTGCTGCTTTATTTTTGCATTACTTCAAACAGGCAAAGTAATAATGGCATCACAAGATGATTATTTTTTTGCTTCTGAAACAGTTCAAAAGTTGAAGTGAAATCAAAATAAAATCAGTTACAGTTCACTTAGATTAGTTTAGATTAGCAGAATATCGCAGTTTCCACTTATCATTGCAATATTTCTTCAGCAGTTGGTAATTAAAGGTCAATGTCATATAAAAGGCTTATTACTGGTCTGCTTCAACGATCAGCTGTGGCATAGTTTATGAAGGCCAAATATTAATTCATTGGATTCAAAAACGAATGATTTTAGTGTGCAAATTATCGAAATACTATTATTAAATTAAATAATAATTTAATTATTGGTTACCAAATTAATTACTTTGATTAACTGTAAAAATTTGTTTTTTTTTTGTACACAAAACTCATAACACAATTTGTAGAATAATAAAAATAAAATTCAAAAAACTTATTCAAAAGTCGAATGCGAATTATTTTTAGTTTAAAGCAATAATACTTTGCTTATATCACAAATTCAGCTTACTGAGCGTAAAATTATTTGTGCATCATATCGCTGCTGAAAGTAAAATTTATGCAAAAAACTGAATCACCCGAGCGAATGTAAATTGAAAATGGATCAAAAATTCATTTTCTGTTCAGCTCTTTTCAACATTTTATTCATATTTCTGAGCAAATACTTTTCCATCTGATTGATCGAATCAGCACTTTTTCTGCTCAAATTAATCAATCGATCAATCAATGAATGAATTGATTTGCTGTTGCAAACTCGATTACTTTCCAGTCTGTGAAGCAAAAAACTTTACTGCCTTATCTATACATTCATTATCATTTTTCTTTTGTTGTGGTGACAATTGTATTATTGAAAGAACCAAAGATTACAGAAAGTAACGTTAATGCAAAAAAATTGCAAAAAGCGCAATTGCAAGAAGGCTCCCGTAAAAAAGAAAACGTACGCTACGTGTGTGGAACTTGTCATCGTCTGCTGGACATGTCTAAATTTACGAGCACTAAAAGCATCTCTTCAAAAACTGGTATTTTTTTCACTAATTATTAACCAAAATTATTCAGCTGCACTCAAAATTATTATCCAATTTTCCCTTCATAAAGGTCCTCTCTTTTCTTGTCTACAAAAAAGCAATCAGTTGTTTTTCGCTGTTGAAAAGTGTCACAAACTTTCTATTTATTTTTAAACTTTTTTAAATTTGTTTTTTAAATTTTATTTTAAAATTTTTGGATGTGATTACTTTAAAACTGAAATAACTTTGTGAATTTCTGTCCATTTGCTATAAAAATTAATTCACTACACATTATGATAATACGAAAGTAATAACATGTTTATTTTTTGCAATTTCCGTCGATCTTTTTATAAATTCCTTTCTACTTTATAGCTGTACTTCAGTTTTATTTCTTCTCTTTATTTGCTTATAAAGCAAAAAGCAAATTCATTCTGTCATCTGAGGTGACAACTAACTTCCTTTTGTGCACAATTCTGACTAGCTGATTCCATGCATTAGTACTGTTTGCCTTATTTTGTTTGGTCTTAGGATAATTAATTGCCTTATAATACAGCAAATTTTGTAATTTAAAAAATTTGAAATTATCTTCTGAGTAGAGAAAAAGCTAAATAAAATTTTAGTATTGTACTGAGCGATGAAAAAGATTGAAAAGTTTTCAATCGCATAAATTTGAGAAAAGTCTTGCTGAATTGTTGTGAAGCGGAAAGTCTAAGTGAGACTGCTACTTTTTGCTGAGGCACTGACAGCTTTCTTCGATTCTTTCGAGCGAAATTGCTTTTACTCAGTTAGAATGCACTAAATCAAAATGCATTTGAATCTTTTTTAATTGGTTTTTTTTTGCTTTTGCTAATTTTTGCGGGTAAAATCATTCTGCTTTACTATTTATTCATTTTTGTATTTTGTTCTTTCTAAAAGTATTTTTGCAGCCTGATTATGCTGAAATATTTAGTCATTTTATTTTGGTCTCTCATTCTATCATTGCTTTCCATTTTATGCAACAATTGCATTAATTAATTCTTCTAATTAACCAAATAAAATAACTAATGAGAAAAAGTTGAATCTTTTCACTTTCATTTCATTCAGTCTTCAGTTTGCTTTTACTTTTGTCCTTACAATTTTGACAAGCATACTTATTAACAATGATAAAAACAATGCGTGTAATTGCAAATTCCATACAGAATTATGCTTATTTTTGCTGCAGAATGCTCGAATGTCTCAAACAACTTACACTTTTGAATTGAATATTTAACTAGCAGTCAAAACAAAAGCAGTTTTGTAGCATGTAATTTAAAAGCGTGAAATATGAACACAGATCAAAGCACTTCTGACAAGTCATCACGAAAATTGCATCGAATTTGACTGCAAATGTTTGCTAAGAATAAATAAATAATTATAAATTGTAGCAATTTTTAACTAACTGAAATGCATTTCTCATTTTGCGAGATTTTCTGCAACTTCAGAATCCAGAATGTGCTCAAAACAGACTGCATTAGCAATGAAAATGAGAGGGTGCATTACAAAAATATAAGATTACCAGCAAAGAAGTGAAGAAAATAGAACTTGAAAATAAAGTAGTATCCTTAGAATACTTACAGTTTGCAACCTTTGTAGGACCTTTTCAGTTCTGTGCCACTACTTTCTTACTGCAAAATTAGTCAGTCAGTTAGAAAGTGAATGCAATGCGTAGTGTGGGGCCATGCAAGCCGTGCAAGAACTACCCCTACAACTACTAACTAACTCTTCTGCTGCACACATTTTCCGATTGTATTCATTTTTAGAAGATTTGTTTTCATCAGAGGCAATTGCTCGCATGCATTTTCCTACTTTATATTCACCCTTCACTTCCATGCACTGCCAGCCATATTCATGAAAATCTCTCTATTCTACTGCACACTCTCCGTTATTTTTTGCTTTTAATAATTGTAAACACACTTAATGACAATGCAAGAAAGGCCGTAACACAATTTGAGAAACTTTGACACGTCAGAATCCGAAAATACCTCTCGCTCGATTTTTACAACTTACATAGTACACGGAGTAATGGTGCTTCAGAATTTAAGATTTCAAAAAATAGATTCATTTTATTTAACAAGTAATTTTAGCACTAATCAGTGAATTCATTGCATAAAATCCGAAATCGGATGATCTATTTTAGACACGGCATTCGCAAGTTATCAGAAGGTTATGTCTGAACAAAAAGTTGCAGAGAACATTTCTTTCGGTGCGGAATATAATACTGAAAAGTCGCCTTCAACTCAAAATGATAATTCTGGTAAGTATTGCAGAAAACTATAGTACTACATCATGATAAAGTATCATGACAGCTACTAATCGCTTAATGAGAATAAACACTTGTTATCACTTAAAGTTATGTGGAAATGAACGGATTCATTTTTTCCTTCAATGCTTTTTATTACTCTTTCCCCTCAATACTGCATCTATTGCCAAACTTTGTTTCAACAAACGTGAATATCACGTATAATTTAATTTCAATCTCACAGCATAATCATTTTCTACTTTCATTTATTCATTCCTCTTAACTTACAAAATAACGTGTTTGAAATTAATCATAATGGCAAATAATCGCGTAGAAATTATAAAATGATAACTGAGTTATTTCTTCCAATATAATCACACATCTCATTTAAGCAAATCCTTTATTTTATTTTAGATTGTCATCACTACATTGATAAACGTCAAAAACACAGTACCGATGTTAATGATGCAAACACAGTAATTAAAGACCCCTCGACTGCAGTAATTTCTTACTGTATGCCAGTTTTGATTTTTGTAAATTTTGGCAAATTTCGATTATTTTCAAATTTTTTTAATTAAAAATAAGATTTCTATAAAATTAATCCTATGGGATAGCACTAATGATCATGACCTAAAGTATATAAACAACGTATTGCAGTAAGTAGTATTGCAGCTAACAATAATAAAATCATACGACCAGCTCGATCAACTTAATTTGAATTCCCTGCGCACAAATAATCTTTGATTTTTAAGTAAATTAAATTCATTTTGACAACTGCAAACACAGTAAATATTCGATAGAGTTTTACATTACTGTTAGAGTTTCGATTTTATGAGCAAAAATGTCTTTGACTGATTCGATCACTATGCGCAAAAAAGAAACAGTAATCAGATACAAAAAAAAAAAAACTAATCAAAACATGAACTCGACTTGCCATGCTTGCTTATATCGATAATAATAATAATAATAATAATAATAATAATAATAATAATAATAATACTTTTGAGATAAATGGAAGGAAAATCGAGAGTCAATGGGAAGAAGCGACAAAAATACAAAAGATACTGTAATTATCCGCGCAGAAAAAAATGCTATTGCTAAACCTATGGCACGGAATCTTTCAGCGCCAAATATGAGACCACTGACAAGCGGAGCCATCTCTGGTAGGTTACAAATAACACTTGCTACATTCAGAAGCCGAATTTGTTTCTTAATAAGTTTTCGATTAGTAATGTGAAAGAATGTTTGCAATTAACTTTGGATCAATAAAGTGGACTTTCATTAATCAAATCGAAACTCAAATTAAGTACTTACAGTTTTTAGCTTCTTACAAGCAATATTGAAGTAATGCAAACAAAGCCATTTATCTTACGTAATATTTACAAATTTCTAGATGGCTGCCTTTTTATATAATGAAAGAATCAATAATAATAAATTTTTTATTGGAAAAATAATTTATCGCTAAATGAATAGTTTGGTATTAAATGATGATTAGAAATGGTGGTGGTACCAAACGTGAAACAAGCGTTGATACGAACTGAACTGACACGTGATGAAGAAGAACATGAGGATGATTTCGATGCATTTGAAGAAATCGAATGTCAACCTGATTGGGTGACAAGTTCACTCCGACTTGGCTCAACACGTCGAAAAATGAGTAAAAAAGGTCTTGCTATGCAACGCATTCAAAAAGAAATTGAACTCGAGAAACAGCGTCAACTTGAGATGGCCAAGAAGAGACAACGTAATTATGTCACACCCACTTGAATCTTTTAAATCTTTATCATTTATGTCGTTCTTCTTATTCGAAAATTATCATTATACTTCCTGTAAACAATCAATTTAAGAAAAACTGATGCACATAGTAATCGCTACAATTATTTGAAGCTCTTTAGATGTAATTTTCAACACGGAAGTTCTTCAGAATTACGCGTTGCAGAATAACGTTTAACGATTCACAGGCATAAATTGTTGATTGAAATAACGATAAAATATCGACTATACGATAAATATGCAACTTGAAGTTTCTAATTTCTGCATTATAATTTTTCTGGTGAGTCTACAATTGCGTGCACTCCGATCACCTACTTCGCATCCTTATAGTCCTGCTGCATCTGCTATATATGTAGTGATGGTTGCTTATTACTGAACACAGAATTCCTGCAGTATCCACTTACTTAATTAGCCTTTATGATGCATTTATTTGAGACTACTTTGCAAGTACTGTTATGACTAGACTGATATAATATACCAATTTCCAAAACTGGCAATCTATTACTCTTATGAACTTTAATTCATTTCCAAATTTTTCGAGTGATTTATCACACACTAAGCAATATGAATGGTATAAATGTACCAGACTTTCACACCAACAAAATATTTTATTCACATTCACAGACAAATGTTATTAATAGAAAAAATAACATGCCCACAAAATTCTCCTTTTCCTACTCTGTCGAGTGAAAGACCACATATGAATTATTATATTACTTTACCCAATCTTTTGCTGGAAATGAGCAAAAACTTTCAAACTACAAGACGATGTTTATTAAATAAAAATTACACAACAGTTCTTTACATGCATGACATTTAAAAACATTTTATCTCGAACTTTGATTTAATCAACAGAATCTAAACCTTATAAGTTCTGAGTGATTTATGATTTACTTTAGAGAGTGACATCTTTCTTTTTTGGGGGAGTACAGTTTCTTCGCTCTGAAATCCATCTTTTGTCATAATGTAGGGAGGAAAAAGAGTTGACAAAGCTGTAATGTAAGATTTCGTATGTTTCATATTTGCAACGAATTCTTCTGCAGTTACCCATTTGTAATCAGCAATTTCTTCTTTATTTATCCTCAGCGGAACGCATGTAGTACAAAACGCTTTGAAGAAAAAAATCTGAAAATGTCAATTTCTTATTCCATGCATTCTTGCGACTGAAAATTAAAATGCCAGAGAAAATGTACAATTACTTTTGAAATAAGCGAGAACAAAGATAATTTTTAAGCTTTATAAGTTTTAGACAAACCCCTACCACGATCGTTAACTTATAAAGTAAGAACATACGAAATGGAACCCACCACAGCACCCTTTGATCGAGTCCTTAATCGCTGTCGCAGTTTTGCAGGATAGAGGTATGAAAATACAGAAAACGGTGCATTACTTAGTCCTTCCACATGTATTCGATCCAAAAAAAAATCCTTCAAACACCTTTCTGAAGTCTGAAAAAACTACCTAAATAACGAACTAGTGAAGAAAAAGTTTAATAACAGTGAATACAAGCATGTACATCGTCATCATTCTCAAAGAAAACACATTCAAGAAAACTACAACAAGATCTAAAAAGGTTTAAACAAATATATAAGCACATTTCCAAAATAAAAATGAGACTAAATCTTGCTTTGCTGATGAAAACATTTTTTAGATAAGTGACTTGCTTGTTTCAATGATTCACCAGGAATATTACGCAACTGAGGTAGCATCCATTGCGAACGATAACCATCTTCGCGACCAAATTTCTGACACGTAATAAATACTAGAGATTCATCAATTTTTCTCATCAAACTTTTGTCATCATCGTTTTCAAACTGGAAGTGTAAAAGCAATGATGATAACTCCAAGCACTTACTGTTCATATTCCACTTAAATAATTTCATTTCTCATAAGCACTAATAATTATATCACATATTTTGCATAAGAGCTCGAGAATAGAGATAGATAAATACTGATGAAAAACTGATAATATTTCTGCAATTCATGACAAAGGATTAATGAAACTAGACTGTCTACAACAAAAATTTTGATTTCATGAGAGAGATTTATAACAAGACAAAGAATACATTTAACAGACTTTATATTAAATCACAAATAAATACGAATTATAAAGAAGAATGAAACCATAGAAATGTTTCCAATCGAAAGTTCATCACGAATTCGACTAGCTTCCTTTTGCCAGTTTTCTTCATCTACAGAAGCTAAAATACCTATTTCTTCCTTTATAATCCCTCCTTCACCGGACATCTTCAACTTTTCTTTCTCTTTCAGTAAGCTAAAATGCATGTTTTGGTTAAAATGAGTCTGTGGAAACATGAAATTTGTTTCTCAAAATTATGAGATGACATTAATATTTTTTAAATATAATTGCCATATTAGTCATGACTTTTTTTGGCACATTATAAGCATTTTGCCAACGGCCGATGTTTTTTTGATGAATAACTACAAATTAATTTAAATAAGTAAAATATCCCAACTCATGAACCACGATGAGTCATAATTCACCAAAAGCCAAAAACGTAACGATGCTTCTCGACCATCAAATACACAATTAAAGTTACAATATAACTATGCGAAATCACTATACTGAACTAGAACGCATGCAAGATCATGTATAAAACTCAATAAAACGAACAAAATAAAATAAATAAATTCAAAAAAGCAGTCAAGCTAGATGCATCTTACCGTTCATCTCTAAGTTGTCGCAATTCGAAATCACATCTAAGTGAATCCTCTAATTCCTTTTGTAGCATTAAAGAATGATAACGCTGTTCGATTTCATTCATCCGTGGAGCAATAATGGGTGGTCTAAAGAGAGCTACTGACGCAAATATCTCCCACGTACGTGAATGTATACAGCGTTCACTTGTAGTAGCTAATGATGAATAGAAACGTGGGAAGTGATACATAATTATTTTGTAACTGTGCTAAAATCTGAAAATTTGCTGATTAAAAGCATAATTCATACTAGAATTCACATGGATTTCTCTACTTTTGACATTAAAATGTCGACATCCTTTAAAGCACGCAAAAGATGAGAGAACTATTTTTTTAAAATTACGAAGAATAATTTTGAGTGATACGATAGAATTTCATATAGGGCAGAATCGCATAGGTCAAAGTAATCTAAAAGTGAATGCGAAATACCTGTGAAGTGTGTGGTGGAAGGAATATGGTTCGCTAGCACAATTTGTGAAGTGCATTAAGTGGACGTTTCGCGAATGCATCGAGGTAGTGCTGCAGTTTCTGTGCCATCCAACAGTAATGCTAATATTAGGTACTTTTTCCGCAAAAGTACGCACACGTCGGTTTGCTGTTTTCTCCAACGTTTTGTCGTTTTGTTTGAATGTACCACAAGTTCAGCGTGTTTTTAAGTTCTGTCTCTCATAGCATGACGTTATTTTTGTCTTGATTGGAGCTCTTTACAATTACATTCATTATAACAATTTTAGGCCAAATTTATTTCTAAAAAAACGGTGAATTTCATCTGTATATTCTAATGTTTCTTATTATTATTCTCTCTTCGTTTATTCAAGTGAAATATTTATATTCAGAAAGTTCCATGAAAGTTGTTATGCTTTTACAATGAATGATTATAATGTTGTGAAAATGTATTGCGAGTTGCAGAATCTTATTCTTATTTATCTCTCACTGCTATTAATTCAATAAGTTTCACTCATTTTCCAAGCTTTATTTATAATCATTCTATGATAACATAGGCTGGCTTCGTTGTGTAGTTATTAACGACCATTGCACTATCTATGTAATCAGAATAAGGTGCTTTCACTATACTTGTGAAGGAAATTATTAATATCAAAAGTGAGTACAAGTTACCGTTTATGTGGTCATAATTTGTGATTGCATGCTGCATGGTGAGATAGTCTTAAGCTTAAGCTTAAATATGGTAGGAATAGAATCAAAGTTTTTTTAACAGTACAGTATTTAGGTTTAGTGGACCAGTGCCGAATGTCCAGCATGGACGACGGTCATTTGCCCCGCAATCCACTGGTGCGCCGCCATTGTTGCCACCACAACACAGTGCACGAAATCAGGTGCAAAATCGTTCAAGAAAGCGAAAATTGGCTGACAAACTTATACCTGTGCAGGTACATGCTATCTCAGAATAGATTGATTTGATGTGAGGAGCCACCTTGAGCTGTTTCGCAATACACATAAAATAATTACCTTCCAGGTTCGAGAACTTGTACCGGAATCGCAAGCTTACATGGACTTGTTAGCTTTTGAGCAGAAGCTTGATGCGACAATCACAAGGAAAAAATTAGACATACAGGAGGCTTTGAAAAGGCCCATTAAAGTGAAAAGGCGACTTCGAATATACATCTCTCATACTTGTATACCTGGCAAAGAACCCGAGGTATATTTTTTATTTAAGAGCTTTTTGTTCTATTCCTTTCTGAATGAGAAAAAAATAGCAGCTGAGTAGTCATATACATGTGAAGTCGCAATTGGCAAATAATTTTACTTTTCCCAAAAATAGTATTTTCGGTTTGTAGAGAGAAGGTGATGAAGGTTCTGTTCCTATGTGGGAATTGAGAGTTGAAGGACGTTTATTAGATGAACCATCAAGTGCAAACAATTTGGGAAGTGGAGTTCCTCCAAATCGGAGTCCACTTAAACGGAAATTCAGTTCATTCTTCAAGAGTTTAGTTATTGAATTAGACAAGGAGATTTATGGCCCTGACAATCATCTTGTTGAATGGCATCGAACACCTCAAACAAATGAGACTGATGGTTTTCAGGTTCATTTTTGCTGAACTTTTCGTTGGTTTGCTTATAGGTTTTGCAACAGTGCTTTGTTTCGATCTTTTCCTTATGTTTTTCCATAAATTTCCATATGTTTAGGTGAAAAGGCCTGGAGATCGGGATGTCAAATGTACAATACTTTTGTTACTCGATTATCAACCTATGAAATTTAAATTACATCCTCGTCTAGGAAAAGTGCTCGGTATGGCAACTGAAACGCGACCAAAAATTATTGAAGCACTTTGGCAGTATATCAAAACGCATAAACTACAGGTATTTCCGTAATCATTTTGCAGATATTGTGCATTTTCATAGAAATGAATATTGTTAAAATATTTTCAGGACCAAACTGAGCGAGATAATATAAATTGTGATACCTACTTAGAACAGATTTTCGGAGTTAAGCGAATGCGTTTCATGGAGATACCTCAACGTCTACAAGGTTTACTGCATCAACCTGACCCTTTGGTTCTTCATCACACGATTCTTCATAGTGACGGGAGTGAAAAAAATACGGCATGCTATGACATTGGTAATTATTTATTTACGCTAAGCAATGTAAACTTTAACAGCAGCTATAAACGACTTAAAATATTAGTTTAGTTTTAAAAGTTTGGGAGAGGTGAGTACCATATTTAGAGGTAAAACTTATATGGTAGTTATAAAGTAGTTCAAAATCAGTGTTTCATTTCAGACGTAGAGATGGAAGACCCTTTAAAAACGCAGATGGCTTCATTTCTTCACAGCCATGCTAACATGCCAGATATCAGTGCTTTAGACCAAAAAATTTATGACATAGTTGAACAGATCAATGAATGGAAGCTCCGACGAGATTTTTATGTTCGTTTCGCTGATAATCCTCAAGAATTCATTCACAAGTGGTTGATTTCCCAGAGCAATGATTTGAAGGTAGTAAACTATTATGCCAACTAATAAAAGAATTTCTTGAATCTCAAATTTTGAAATCAAAGGATTAAATCAACATTTTTATTGTAAGTGTCAGCCTTTTTATGTTTCACTTTTTTCCAGACCATGACAGAAGTGTTCGGAGACAATGAAGCAGAACGTCGGGCGGAATATTATTATCAACCACAGATAATGGAGGGCACATTTCGTTATATATATCACAAAGTGCAACAAAAACGAGCAGAGTTAGAAAGTACATTAGGTATAAAAAATAACTGATTTTCCAATCTTTTTCTCATAATTTAAATGCTTGGATTATTTTCTAGTATTTATTATAAAGGAAAATTATGCTTTCAGCCTTATCTTTTTGTACCCAGTTGTAGCCATTTCTTTTGTTACCAGTTCTTATTCTGCAATGTCTGTACTCATATATAGTTGTGGAGTAACAATGCTGTAGATTAGAGGATGTTATCAGAGTTCATTTTCAAAAGTTCTGTTTCGTATTAAAAATATCGAGTGCACTACATGGCTCAAGAATATTGCATACAGTTTGTGCCTATATTGTATTTCACTAACTAATTGCATAATTTTCCTCAAAGTGAAAGTATCGTTCGCTTATTATTGGCACATATTTCTTTCATATTTCTCTATTTAATAGTGACTTTTTGGTCTCGAAAATACAACAACCTTGATTTTTTAAATAAGGGCAGGGAGTGGCTGTCCTTACATACTTTTTGACGTTAAGTTTAGGCACATA